GAGCAATTTTTGGTTTTGCCATCCTTCGATGAGGTGTTTTTTTTGCGATAACTACTATCTACGATAACTTCTTGAAGGCTGTAAATCTTGAGACTGGTTAACACATTGACGACGACAGTCACGACACGGTAGTCATTGCTTGACACACCATGTGTGTCAAGGCTTGAATTTTGTTGAAACGGCTACTATCCTAATATAAAATCAGTCCACGGGCTTTCTTTTGCATTAAATCTGGGGATGAACTCTACCTTTTTTGTCAGCCTTTCAGATTTGCTGTAGGTGTACTGCAGATGGCAGTATGCATAATTATAGTCGAAAAATGTGGGCTGGTCCTTAAAAGGGCTTGGTCCCAGAAGGCAGACAACTAAAAATCTGCATTGTCGTCAATGTGTTAAACGATCAAATATGGAGAATCCAGCTTTTGAAGTGCTGTTTTGAGTGACAACCCTCTTTCAAAAAGTGGATAAATATCGAGTTTTTTTTTGGAAAAAAACCTCGAAACGTTTCCTTCCGCAAAAGTGTACGATGTTCTTATTTTTCACGCACAAGCCGCACATTCCCGCTTGTCAAGCTTTATGGCTATTCAGATCCATGAATCTACCCTCTCTGCTAGAGGACTCGCTGTTTGTTTTTTTCGTGGAAAATCTGTGTTTTAACAGATTGCCATTTGCTTTTTTTGGTTACTTTTGTTCTTGTATTTTCTTTGGCAGATCAACAACAATGCACGTGGCCATATTCTTTCTCAAAAAAAAATGCTGAAAAAATTGAAAGGCTTTATTTGTTTTCAGGCTCAGAACAGTGGCGGTCGCAGAATTTCTGTCGGGGGGGGGGGGGGAGAGGGGCAAAAAATTGGGGCACTTCAAAATTTTTGCGGGCCCATAACTCCAAAAATTTAGAAATCAAGAAAATACGAAAAAAATTCTCACAAGGTTAGTCCAAAATTTCAAAAAATTTAAAAATTATTTTAATTATTCAAACAATTCACTTGCACATTTTCATGACCTATGCAAGTAAAATTCAAAAATTTCGCGACCTCGGAGGGGAGGGGGGGGGGGGCTCGGCCCGCCACTAGCTCAGCGTGAGTACTACTGAAAATTCGACAACTTGCAAAATTAGCTAGAAATCACATTTTTTCCAAATGCAGTGTACTAAGAAAACCCGCAAGTAACTCTTCTCTCTTTACAAGCGAAAGGTTTTATTGCCTATTCGTGTCTCATGATTTTACTGCGCCCATCGCGAAAACCTTTGTCTTCTTACAAGATCCATTTCTCACCTTAGCGACCAGTTCTAGTGTTGCTTTCCTGTCCAGTTTAAACTATAACATCTCTTACTGATGTTCGCACGAAATTTTGCCCTGAATGTACTTCTCCCCGTTAGATAGATGTGTTTCAAACTGGCGAACGCAGTCTCGACGTGCATGTTAAAGAGGATCAGTGCGTATTTGAAAGTATAACGAATTTCCACATTTGTGAACCAGTTTTGGGTACATCGCACTGCCATTCGTCTTTGACAAGTCGAGTTTTTCATATAGTGAAAATTTCAACTTCCAGTCACGAGTGAAGTTCGAGCGTTCCAAGAGTTCAATAATCTTCTTTGTTTGTGCACTATCGCAAACTGCTGCAGCAGTTGTTTCGCTAAATTTGCATGAAATACTAAATGTGATCTTAGATCAACTTCGACGTTTCGTTGGCGTCAGAAACGTTCATCTTCCATACATTTTACGAACTCTCACTTTTGTTTTCGCATTCCAACTTTTATTCACTGACTTTCCTTGCCTTAACTTGCTGGTAAGCCAAGATATTGGCAATGGAGCAATACAATTCATGAAGTAACGTAACTTTGGACTCTGAAGCTTACTTATGTAGCCGTATTATGTAAGCACATCCATTCACACTTGCTCAAAGTCCATAGACTACGCGGGAGTGAATAATTCTCTTTAAAATCGCATGGCACATCGTCTGAGCGATGGGAGCAACCGTTGCAAAAGGAATGGACTCTGAGACTATGGTTATGGGTAAAGCTTCATTTCCTTTATACGCAAGTGCAGATGTAAAGCGTTGAGCCAGAAAAGTTTGATAAATTCACACCCTCTCAACAAATATACCTTGAGCCTTGAAAGTAGATCTCGTGGGAGAAACGCGGGCATAGCGTATCCGATAAATAATTGTACCAGGGAATAGAAAAACTTTTGTGCTGTAATCTAGTTTTTCACGAATTACAGCAGTTCCACATACCAGAATTTTTCTTGAGTATTATCTAAAAGTAAAGTACAGTCTCTCTAAACGTTTGCTCGCTCTTTCGTTCCCTTTTATTGAAACACTCTATTAGAAAATTGTTTCACAAGCATGTCTATTCTGTCTTCGTCATATTTTGCAACAATATTTTTGAGACCTTAAATTCATACATAAAAAGCTTCTGTACATGCAGAAAACCCAAGATCTTATTTGTGAGTTAGTAAAACCGCGGAATTCTTTGCTATTTGAGTTTTTTTCTTTAGTTCAAAATGCGGAAACTTTGCCAATTATGTCACTGAGTTGTCAGATACAAAATTATTGCATGTTTTGGGATAAACAAGTTCTGCGAGCGATACATAGTACACTTGTCCTCGGACAGTGACATTTTCAAGTCGTTTACTTTCGATATTACAGCACCTAAAAGAATCAAAAACATGTCGTAACTACACATTTATCAAAGCCGAAAGGAGAAGGAGCTTAAATAAAACTTCTGTTTTGCAAAAAAATTTCTGAGACGTGAAAAAAAATTTTCAAAAAAAAAATGAGGCATAGCTAACTATGGTTGAGTTATCTACTCTCGGCAGCAGTGAACTTTCAAAGCTTTTAATTTGCATTTTTAGCTTGTTGTCAAAGAAACAACTGTCTTATTATCCGACAAAGGCTTTCCGAGCGGAAGTCTTTGCACAGAAATCACTTCAGACTACATTCTTAGCATGGATTTGAGTCCTCATTCTCTCAACAAGATTCGCAAGTGGTTTTTTTGAGTGTTGCGATTAGATGGAACACCTTTAATGTGCCGAATAGATGCTATCGTACGCGAACACCACGGAACAAGGACATGTTCGCCAGCATTTCTTCTACGAAGCATAAATGAGATTGTTTTGTTCTATATTTTTCCATGCACATTTTTTGATTATTAAGTCTAACATTGGAAAGCTGTAAGCTTCATGCTTCAAACTTTGCAATGCTGTATAGTTCTGTTTTGATTTTTACCAATAACTTTCGTGATTTTGTGAAACTTCTTTCATATCTTCTGTAATACGAAAAAGGTTTTCTTGATTCAATTAAGTGATTCTTGATCTTGAACTTATTACCTATGCTAGTCATTATCTCACAATCATCATCCGGTCATTTGCTTCGGACAGAAATGAGAATCATTCAACATTTACGATTTCTTACCTGTGTTCAGCGCAGTTTGATGTTCTAGAAAAAACAGCCCTTATGCCTGGCTAATTCTTGTTTCTCAATTTTTCGACGAAGTTCTTGATTAAGTGAAGAGCAAATTTTCGGCTAACGTGGATATGCTCTTGGGCAATTCTTTCTTCATAGCAGAAACTACAACTGAAAAAATGTGTCTCAAGAGGTGTAGCAACAACAAACAACCAGCGCCATTTTCTCTTTAATAGCTGCATGATGTATCTGGTCGCATCACTTTTTTCGCATAGCGAACAGAGCGCATAAAAAAGGTTTAGCAAATTGTGAGAAGTTGCATTGTGCAGTTCTGTGTATTTTAAGATCGTATTCTGGTAGTTTATTACAGCACCTTTTGAAAACACTTGTAATATTGTAGTACTTTCAAAAATGGAGAGCTACGTAGGGGTCAATTTGCTGGGAGCTCTATGAAATGCCTAGAACAGAGGCTTTCTAGGTTTCATAAACATCGCACTTATTCGTTAAAGACGGGAAGAGGCCTGTTTAGCTCAATGCGTTATTTCATTGATGGCGAAAGGGGTGTGGGGGGGGGGGGGGGGAGAGGAGGGTAAAGGAATGTGCTCTTGCAAAGTCATGTGCGCTTGCGATACAGTATATGTTGTTATACAAAATGTATGATAAGAGACCGTTCCATTCGTCATCTGTCACCTTTCCCTAGCAGTTGTTCTAAGACATTGAGATGTAGTCTAGTAAATTGTTTCCAGATTGAGTACTTATAGTGTTATAGTAATTTTTTGCGCTGCTATAAACAAGCTTACGGCTCAAAGCTCTCGGCCCTCAGGTTACAAAATTCATAAGTATTGGTTTTCCCGAATAACTCTGTAAGCGCCCTGGCATCACCTTTACAGTATGAATCCAGAGCATATGAAAACCCAAGAAGAACATTTGCTACAAAATTTCGACAGTTGGGCACTCTGAGGATTTTCTGTGCCTTCACTTAACCGTATCCAACAATATGGAATCGAACAGATTCAAGCAAGTATCAAAAGGCGAAGCGATAAAACAAAGAATTAAGTTTCGAGCTGTAGTTTTAGCTATCCCAAATTTCTCCACTTTGAGAAAGTCAGAGTAGAGGGGCGATATACCATTACTTCTGTAGCGGACATGGAAGTGAAAGAAAGAAGCTTTTCAAAGGCAGTTTTGACTAATTTTAATTCTAATCCTTCTTCCATGATGCACTCAACAATCTAATCATTGGTCGTTCCATGCCTGCCAAACCAGGTTTTTCGAAATACAATTTTTCCAGTCATTTTTGCACACATAAAAAGCAAGATTGATTGAATGGATCCACCCAAGTTGGGTAAATATTTTGCTAGATTATGGTTCCTGTTCGTAGTGCAAGCTCTACACGCCTCTACACGGTTTGCCTGTTCTCGCAAACTGTTCAAATCTGGTTTCGACGTAATCCACAGTGAATTTGTTACCTTTCACTCGCTCTCTTTGATTATACGATAGAAATGACTCATGCCGAGCATGAAACCGTGCGCTTTTCCTCATTGTCTATTCATGAAATCGCATCGTAGTGGAAGTTCGTCTCGTTCATCTCTCACTGCAGGCGCACGCCAGGTCGGATCAAAACGGGACAAATCACACTTGTTGCTATCATCTCATGCTAACAAACGCATTTCTTCTCATTCTTTCGGTTGGTTTGTTTGATTTTTTGCCCTTTTTTCATATTTTAGCAGGTTTCATTTTGTAAATGGCTGGGTCGTATAGCTGCGCTCATTTCACAAAGATTTCATGTACATCATTGATTTTCACACGTGACTTGATCATTCTCTAAATTTTATTCACTGATCAAATTTCAGTTTTTGTTAATAATTGTGCCAAGAGAGGTTTTTACCTCGAAACCTCCTTCTTGGCCTAGTCCCTCGGCCATTCGTCGTCTACAAAGAACAGGAGTGGTATGAGCTTTTTGCTTACAAAAGCATGAAGCAGCGAATGCTATGTTTGCTTCGTCAAATTTGCTTTCTGCTGAGAATTGACATATTGTTTTTTTTTCAACTATTTTTATCTTTTCGAATCCAAACGTCTCTGCTCATGCTACTTATAAATGTAAGAGCAGTATTCGTGCTGGTCATATAAGAATTCAATGAAAGGTTTTGTATTTTGTATTTTCAACCTAATAAAGTAACAACATTATTCTGATTTGTCTTTTTACCATCTCACCAATTTTTTTCAATTTGTTTTGAATTTCTCAAGTCAAGGTGGCAACAAACCAGTTTTAATTCACGAAAACATCTTTCTTTTTTTTTTTTGTTAATCAATCATGGCCCAGTTCTTTGATTTCAACATAAAAATGCCAAAGTGCGTGGTACGTCATGCTCTACCATCTTCGGTGGTCTCATGAATATGCAATGCAAATGAATAATGAGATTTATTTTTTATGACTCACTGTTGATTTCACGGAAGTTACTTCATATTCAAATTTGCCATCCAAAAACCTCTTGGGTTCCCGAAGTAAAATAATCAATTGTTATTTTCAGTGCCACATGGAACCCTTTACTACTCTTCGTTTGTAAATTACGGTAGACTCCCAGCATATTCGAGTTAATGTGCACTAGGGGTTTTTCCAAAAGTAATCCTTCCCTAGATACTAAATCAAACTATTTTTGTTTTCCTAGCAGATTTAAAGTACTGTTGGATGGATAAAACAAGCTCTACATTGACCATCGAATACCCAGCCAAGTACTAATCCAGTTGAAGTCGAGAGCCAAAAACAAAATTTTATTTACTACTTCAAAAACAGAATGTCCTTCCAAAAAACCCCTACGGACCTCCAACTTCGTTCATAATATAAGAGTCACCTAGCAGTATTCATAAATGCATTTCCTGAATTTCTTCTGCAGCAACTGAAAAAATGGCCCGGAAATGCTAAAGCTACTTTTATTGGGTTTTCTACGTTGAAGTTGGTTTTCTCGATTACCAGGAAACACATAGATTACAGACTATTATTTTGAGTCATACTTACTACATAGAGCTGGCCGTACACAATCATGTATGTGGGAGAAGCTGGGGGCGGAGTTGCTATTAGACCATTTTTGTTTCCATGTACGAAAAAGATGTAGCAAATGCATTTAAGGACATTACTAGTATTTGATGACCAATTTGGCTTCGCGGAATTTTCCGATCGCGGAATTTTCAGAATTATCAGGTGTTCAATTTTTTGATTTTGGCTTCGAACACGATTTACGAACGGATCCGATGGTCATTTTGTAGGGTTGCTTTCACTAACAAGCATTGGACTAAATCTGCTAGGAAAACAAAAACAGATTGATTCATTTAAAAATTGCAAAGCTATCAAGAATCGAGTCGAAATTCGGGGGACCACTGAGAAAAATGCTTTGCATGTTCAGTGTTTTCGATGAAATGCAGTGAGGGGCAGATTTCGTGACAGAACTCCTCTTGTGGTAAGAAGAATAGAATTTTTAGCTTTCCCGTTTTTTTTCGTAGGCTAACAAACTCTGAACATCTAGCTTAGGTCTCATCAAGACTGCGAGTGAGGGGGGATGGATGAGGAGGGGGGGGGGGTGGCACCAACGATTAGCATTTATATAAGATTTTTTTTTTTGCAAAAAGTTGTTCATCAAGACTGTTCATCACTCAGGAAGTCTTTTTTAGAATCGCGATTTGACTTGAAATAAGAATGCGCTCCTCATAGTCAGTCTTACAAAATGTTTTATTTTATTTAGAAAACAAAAGCATCGTTCAGTGTTGCAATAAATCCTATTATCAATCAATCAGTTAGGTTATTGAAATAAGCTACGTGAAGGAAAGTTGAATAATCTGAACTTTAAGTAAACAACTTGCAAATTGAAGACTGAATGGCTTCATGTGCAAAATAGATGATTTCGAAAACATAAGCCTTCGAGCTCTAAAAACTGCTTTTTCTACTTGTAAACCTTCCTCGTGTAAAATTCAAAATTTAGATCTCATTTGCGAACGCAATCAACTTCGAAGGTTGCAATGTTACTCACTCTTGTTGGTTTCATCCACCAGAATGCTACCTAAACGAACGAGCCAAATGCATTTCCGGAGTGCGATGGGCTATGGAACCTGATGGCCTTTATATTCAAGTAATTGCGAAAATTTCTGCACCAACCCAGCTCCATTCAATGTAATTTAGCTGCAAACCTATGCGATAGATTTGGATCGTACAAGACCAGTGTACGCTGCGCTTGGTTTTAGTTATAACCAGAGGATGGTAGGTTCATCACAAAGTGAAGGAAGCTTCCGACAAGCCTATTGTAGAATGATGACACTGTGGTCGAATGTGTGCAACCGCTCCAAGGAGAAGGAAAAGTGCGAGTGTCGTTTAACGATGAGACTAGTAACTACGTTCTCTATCAGGTACTGCTATTTTTCACAGTACTGTAAGTTTAGAACACCTGATCCTACATTATAAGGTTTTGGATAGGCATTATTGCGCATAATCAATACGCCTCTAATCCGCGGAGCGTACGTCATATTCATAAAAATAATCATGAAGAGTGTGAGGGGTATAGGCGCAAAATTCAAATCGGGGTGTTCTCCTTTTGTGAGACCATTGGGCTGGTGTAGGGTTATAAATCTCTGCCCTCTTTGACTAGTTAGCTGGCCAGCTAGTTAGTTCATGAATTTTAGCAGAGTCACCTTCAAGGCAAGTCTTCGTTTTCCATTTTGTTCTATCAAGGCTTTTTTCATAGCGCTCACTCAAATTCAGAGAGCGGGAATTGTCTCAAATCTCATTTTTTAAATATTTTTCGAGGACCATGGACTCTTGCGCTAGCTTTATTGAAAACAAGAATAAGCTTGATGAGTAAGCACTCGATTGTGCTTGCATCACGAGCCAGGACTAGAGAGATTTCTTTTGAGGAGGCGGGCAGCACATCATGTGGGCGGTTCGCACACTGCTCCAAAGAATTAAATTTTCAATTTAGAACTTCACCTGTCTTTTAGAGGCAGTGTTTGAGGACCGATTTTCCGCAGTAGTTCTTCTTCGAGATCCTAGCACTTGATCATGATGGTAACCAAAAAAGTTATCTGCTTTTGAAGAATTGAAGTTTTGATTTGAAAAATATTTCTCTGGGGTCATTCGGAAGTCAGTTTGTGAGTGCATGTTTACAACAGTCATTATTCCATTTGAGATTTTCGATGGAAGGGTGGGTTGTCTTTGGAAGAAAAGAAAGCTGACTTGAGCATATTAATTCTCTTTCATCATCACTCATCAGTAATCCGCTTAAATGAAAAAATTATGTTCAGGCCACTGACGTTCTCTTAGAAAACGGCACTACCAGACTAGAAGACGGTTTGCTTACATGCGATGTGAAGCTCAAGCTTGATAATGTCCTTCTGGTCGCAAACGAGTCACAGTTCATGGTCTCTTTAGTTTACCTTGTCATTATCTATCTTAGCATTTTCACTTGTAGATTCATGATCTTGAATCACAACCTTACTACTTACTATTCGCTAGAGGAAATGCGAATCCTTACAGTAAGTTCATGCAGTGGACATGCACTATGATTTTTGAAAGTGTTTAGCCTTGGAAAAGGACATCCACTCCGTCAATGACAATCCACAGTTTCCATGGATGACTCAAGAAATGGTAGTCTAATTTCATGCTATCAATTTGTGATGGTAAACCTTGCATATTGATCTCTAGGTATCATTCTGTCGCGGTCATCACGGCTGCACACCAAAGACTTACATGCTCGTAGATGGCATACAATCAAGAGTTGAACGATACTGGAGATACCGCATAGCTGTTCTCCACGGTAAAAAGTTTTCATTATTCTTAAGCTTAATACTTGGCTCTTTTTTTGAGGAGTAGTGCAAAAGCATTTTTCTCAGTACACACTTCTTACTTTATGAAAACAGAGAATTCTCAATGATGAATTTGGAGTGTTCAAGCTTTACAATGTTTATCAAATCTACTGTTTTCCTGGTTTCAGGAATAGCGCTTATTTTTGCTTGGTGGGTGCTTGGATCATCAGCAATTCTCATTGCCCGGTTTTTCAAGCCACTGTTTCCTCGCAAGAAATTACTGGGCACGGCAGTCTGGTTCCAGGTGTGTTGATGCTCACAAGCAGTTCGTAAAGGTCCACAAGTCTTACCTTACTTTGCATTTGAATATGGGGATATACCCCATGCTATAAGAATGTAATGTTATATAACATGTGAGCGTGCGATAGGACCGCCGCTGATCTCACCTAACTTCAAAGGCATTCTCCCCGGTCAACTGGGGGTGGTGGGATTTTGACGCAGTGGGGAGCAAAGCTTCTGTTTGATGAAACAGTTAAAGCCTATCGAGAAAGGTGGATTCAAGCAAGAAAATCGCGCCGGAAATAAGGAGCGGTACACTAATCCCGCCTCCTCGACAAGTTTTGACGTGGTGAATACATTAGATCTACAGCATTCGTCACGTCAAAACTTGTCAATGAGGCGAGAGCAGCGTACCGTCTTTTTTCCGCAGCGATTTTCTCGCTTCAGAATCCACCTTTTTCGGTCGAGCTTTCGATCGTACAGTAGTCAGGAGCCGTGCTACTACGTCAAAACCCCATCACGCTCCTGTCGACCAGAACGTTGTCTTTAAAGGCACCGTCCACCCAAAATGGAGGTTGGCGAGATTATGATGGCATACTAGTGTGGGCCCTCATACTAGACAAACCTCCAAGCTTCGCCGCAAAAGACTGCTTCTGAAGCGAGAAATCCGCTCCGGAAGTAACAAAGTGGGCGGGGCGCCCCCGGCGGTCCACCCAACTCGAATTCAATGTTTTTGCAATGTTTTTGTCGCCTTCAGGCCTTCTGAAAGCCCTGATTCCGAATATGGAGTCGAAAATTCGCGAAACCCCCAAAAATCCCTGTTTCGAGAACCCTCTGCAACAAGTGCAGGCGAGATAAAGCATGCAAGTGGGCGGGGGGACCGGGGGCGCCCCGCCCACTTTTGTTACTTCCGGAGCGGATTTCTCGCTTCAGAAGCAGTCTTTTGCGGCGAAACTTGGGGGTTTGTCTAGTATGGGGGCCCACACTAGTATGCCATCATAATCTCGCCAACCTCCATTTTGGGTGGACGGTGCCTTTAAGCAACCACGTTGTGAAATGATCTCAGGGAAATAATGTGCAAGCGATAAAAGCAAGAGAAAAGTCCTCTAAGTTGCACGTGAGTAACTCATGCGACAGGTTATATGACATAGATACTGCAGGCGATAGTGATTGAAACTGCACAATCTCCGGCTACGGATAGAGAGGATCGATAAGCAGATGATGATGCAGCCATGAGAAATTTCTTGCCTTTTTTGCAGGCATGCTACATTTTTTGGCAGCCATGCTGCGTGATATTCCATTTTTCCTACCATCAGCTCCAAGGTTGCCGCGGAGGCGAAGTCTGGCGAGCGCATCGGTGTGTTGAAACATGGCCGATTAATTGATTATCGCCTGACCAACGCGGCCTTCCTAGCGCCAATCTGGGAGCCGATGTTACCAATTTTTCGTTAAATGCAATTTTTATAATATTACATACTAGGCCATCAAGATTTTCTGTCTTCTTGCTTCTTCGCCTTGGCGAAATTTCCATTCAAAGTTGTCTAATGATGATCAAACGATGACCTTGCCGCTGAGATTGGAGCGGTCTTACCGATTTGATCAATCTTGCGCAAACTTACTTACTTGAATACTCAGATGACCCTTCTTCACGTGAGGTGCCACCACAGAACTTTCCATTTTTCGTCTCTCGCTTCAGACATCCGCGATCTCTTAAATAACGATAGGTGGCTACGTCTGCATCTCCTTGGTGGTACTCGCGGATGTTTTGCTTCATGAGGAATCCGTTCTGACGTTCTTAGTGTTCATACGTCGTCTGTTCTTCTCATGGTGTGACTGGACCATCGATGGCTCGCTTTCGCAACGTTTCCTGCTGTGTCACAAAGACGGGACATTCTTTTCATATCCGTACTGCGAAGTCGGACAAGATGTTGTTAGTGTCGAGTCATCTTCAAAAGACTGAACTCTATCGCACTGAAGGTGGTCTCGAGAGCTTTCGACGTGGCTACAGTGTCGGCCCATGCCTCAGCTGCTTAACAGAGAGCCGGGGGTTGAGTCGAATATGCGAGCTCGAAGCTCCGGGTACGACAGTTGGTCGGTGGCTTCCTTCATAGGCCCGAAGGCGGCCCAGGCTGTCTCCTATTAAGTTCTTCCCTCAAGTTGTTCTCCATGTTCGTAATGTCCGAGATATATGTAAAAAGACGTCTCCATGATAGTGCCCTCCAATTCCATTCCTGCATCTTCGCATAGGGCGTTTTTCATTAACTGAGTCTTTTTTTGAGTCATTCGCAATCCAATCTTCTTTCCTACTTCGTTTCCTTCAGCTTCGTCTCTGCTTTAGTAATACTGCTCGGAAAGAGAACGATGTGCCCGCAAAACGAAGGTTCAACAGATATCTCCCATCAATTCGTATGCCTCTCTCGTCCCAGTCCAATGACTTCATCACTACCGCTGCAGGGCCGCGGAGAACAGCTTCGGCGAATTGTGTCGCCTTGTCAGACCTCCTTCCCGATTGAGGTAATCAAAGGCCGATGGAGCAGATCTATCGTTGTTGCAGTCCTTGTAGCAATCGGCTAACGTCCCCATGTGAGCGCTGGGTCCACTCCTTGTCGACTAGCACGACAGTATGGCGTTGTCTTAGACACTTTCAAAGGCTTTCTCGTAGCCGGCAAAAGGACGGCAGTTAGTCGGTACTTCGGGCAAACCCTCGAAACCGTGTGGATGTCTTCCATGCAGCTGATGTTTTGCGAAATCCAGCATGTTCTTGGAATTGGGCTCCATCCAGTATCCTGCATAAGCAAGGATAATCTCGAGTAAAGCTTGTACATTAGACTGAGCAGGCGGTAGGTTGGGAGGACCTCCTTTTCGTCCTTCTTGAAAAGAAGGATGGTGTTTGACGTCTCCACTGATCGGAAATCTTTTTTTTTTCTAAAAGTAAGATGTCAGATGCGACCGAGCATCAGCAAGTAGAATGCGTTGCGGTACTTCTTCAGCGGGAACAACAGGCACTGGCACGGGTAATGATGAAAGAAAAAGGTTGGTGTAGAAGTTCTTCGCGATAGATTCCATCTTATATCGGGAAGAAGTCGGGGTCCCTCTTCGTTCAATATGCAGCAAGCTGTTCGATATATACATAGGTCCCTTCGGCAGCACTTCTCAACACTTCGTCTTTCTTCGGTTGCTTCCAGTATCTTGGCTGTGCCTGTCTTGAGACCCCCCTGCAAAGCTGTTCTGCAAGGCGTTGGTTATTAGTCGCTCGAGATGGGTTGCATTCGGATCTTGCCACAAAGGTCTTCTTCTTTCGAGTATATTCTTGGTGGTCTTTGAAATTCTTTTTAAGTTATTTTCAGAAGCGTCTTGCGCAAACTGCAAAGACATTTTTTTTTTCAAAAAATGCATATTTTCTAACGAATCCAAATTAAGATCAATAGTTGGTTGATGCTGAATCGAGGGGCCGTAGGGTTCACCTAAGGCCTATCTCTAATCACCTAAAATGACCGAGCTTCATTACGGGCCATTTACTAGGGTGAACGATAAAAAATGAGGCAGCTTGATTTTTATTACATTTTGAGGTTTTCTGTTCTCACCAACAATAAGCGGGCTGCAACTCAAACGTCGCTAACATAACCGACCTTCGCCTATTATTCTGGCAACGCGTTACCGCTCTTTTCTCATAACCGTACGCGTGGCGTCGTGAAGAACTCAGACAGGGTTTTTGGAACAACTCTCAATCTTGCGCTGCTATACCTAAATTCGTAAAGCAAATGACATACCTTTCGAAAGAGCTCTTCATGCTCTTTCAATCGATACGTTGAATGCTTGAAATTTCTTTTCAGTTTCAGAAAAAAGCGAAAAAACCTGAAAAATAGCGATTTTTGGCGCATTAAAAAACCAAAAGATCATTTGTCGACCTATATTTTCCGAGGATTGATGAAATATGAGGTAAGCTGCATATGGATGAATAGAGCGTAAAAAGTCTATCAGATGGTACCCAGAAAAGATGCGTTTACTTGCAAAGAATTGAATAACGCGTATCTTTGTTCTCGAAGCTGCTGATGGCCACATCTCCTGATTTGAAAGTTGAGGCCACTTAGCCATCATGTGTTTAGTGACTGTCCCACCACCCAATCAGCAGTGGCACTTTGAGTGGTCTCACATGTTTCACTGTGCAGATACTGCTCAAACTTCATGATTTATCGAAGTGACTAACTTTGCATTTCAGCGAGTATAAAAATTATTAACTATGTGAATGACCTCATATAGGTATTGCCTGAAAGAGAATAACATATTCTAACATCTATCGAAATTGAAGGTCTAAACACTTCTTTTTCTTGAGAAACCTCCATTAATTTCGTAAGTGCCCCATTTTTTACCGTTCACCCTAATAGCTTTACTTTTGAAAACACTGCGTACAGTTTGCAATCTACTGTTGGGATTGAAAACTCCAGGCGATGCTCATGCTTATAGAGCTTTGTGCTCATAGAGCGTTAGTGCCTAAAAGCAGCATGTAAGAAGAAGAATCAGAACAATAGAAGAGGGCGAAGAATTCCATAAGTCTGGAAGAGGGTCCTAGCAGTAGTTATACCGCGTTGCGTCTGTCGTCCATATTCCACAAAAATAACCCTGTGAAGGTTTTGTATTTTTGTTCCTTGTCCATTCCTGGCAGCAGAACATTACTGTGCAGATGACGTAGATATTCTGGCTTTGTCTTTACTCACTGTTCTCTTAAAATGAATAGCCTGTGAGAGTTTTTGAAAATTTTTTAGCAACCCTTGATTTACGCCTTGGCGAGATTAAGCTAACCTATAAAATCACCCTGCGAAAAATGCTGGAATATCTTATCCGAATGGTCCCGGAGTTCTGGAGGGAATGTCTTACAAATAGTTCAATAGCTCTGTAGGGCTGATGTTTTCATTCTAAATAACATCCTTTTTCAGCTTCACCGGGATCTATTCCTAATTTCCCTGGTTCTGCAAATTCTTGCCGTCTTTTTCATTTTCTGGCAGGCAAGCTGGGTATGGTACGAATGCTCTTACCAATGTACTCTGAAGGTGAGCAATTCTACGTAGTGTGCATAATCAACATTAAAAAAGCTTCGGCAAGTTATTCCAAAGCTCCGCAGTACATTCTCTTAGTGACTATCCGATTTTCTAGGACTTTTCCAAGAAAATGCATGCTATCACTGGTATGATAGCAATGGTATTAGCACTAACACAACCTTTACTGGCCTTGCTTCGACCGTCTCCGAGCTCTGAGTACCGTTACATTTTCAACTGGACACATTGGCTGATTGGAATGACGGCATGGAGTTTTGCAAGTGAGGTTAATAAAACATCGAATTATGTGGCTAAGAAACTTTTCAGGTGCAACAATGGTGTTATCATTGGCAATGGGCAAGACAGGATTGAATTCCTACTACGGCTATGCACCAAACTGGATAATGGGAGCATACATACTGTTTTTCATAGGATGCAACATAGTAATGGAAATGCTTGCCACGAACAACGATGTTCGAATGGAGAAAAATGGTAATCATACGTTACTGTTACTAGAGATTCAGCCTATCTTTTTTGTTAGATCCTCTCTACCTCTATCTCGATTTCAGTCTCGGAAATTAAGCCGCATCGTTTTATTGTAGGACCGTCCGGAATGGCTCTTTCACATTTGAATGGGCCGACGGTGGAGTCACCACTTGCACCGCCAACTGTGAGTTTTTCAGCACAGCACTTCACAACTCGTAATGGTTAAAGGCAGTGTCCACGCAGATTTGGAGCTCCTCAGTTCCAACATTTTATTGAAGCGGACTCCTCGTACAGACCATAATCCAGTTTCGAGTGCAAAATATTGCTTGTGAAGCGAGTAAACCGCTTCAGAAGTCTGAACAGAGACGCCCCCTTGTCCGTACCGAAGCAAGTAATCGTGCCGGGACGCGTGGTTGCAGCCAATGACAGCGTCGCAACGGCGGCGTCCCAGTCGGATTCCCTGCTTCGGTACAAATAAAGGGGCGTATCTGTTCAGACTTGTGAAGTGGTTTACTCGCTTCACAAGCAATATTTTGCACTCGAAACCGGGCTATGGTCTGCATGAGGAGCCCGCTTCAGTAAACTGTTGGAACTGAGCAGCTCCAAATCTGCGTGGACACTGCCTTTAAATAATCCTTATACAATGTTTGCCGAAGCATGTTTGCTTACAAATTAACATTTTGCTCAAAGTAGCGGGTCTATAGTTTGTCCCAAACGGGATCAGCTCAAAAACTGATACAAAAGTGGACTGAAGTCCCTTTCTAAATTAGGCAGTGCGAATCTTCCAGAACTGGCGACAAGGTGGAGAGCTGCACTAGCGCTCAAAGTCCCTTGCCCCCGTATCTGCATAATCTTAAATGCAGCTTTTGGGCAAAATCGGCTTAGTTTAGATTTTTACGGTTTGATAGGTCTCTCCCTTCAACTTGAGCAAATCATCTGGTCCACCCGAAAATGCTGTTTTAAAGGAAGAGGGAAGGAGAGCAGGATACTAAGTGGCCATTCGTAATGATTTTTATACCAATTTCGAATACTGTCTTCCATATATGCGCAACGATAACCTAATCGTTAGGATTATTTTTCCATGAATATGCAGTGCAGTTTTTGATGATTTTGACCTCCGCTACTGCGGAGGGTCAAAATCATCAACCATTTTTTTCTTTTCAAATACTGATCATTTAGATAGGTACAATACAATAATAATCAAGATTCTCTTCAGCAGCTCCAGACGGTAGCCTTAAACAAATTTGGTGATATTAACTACACAAAAGTACTCAAATTTTCTACGAAGAAAGTTCATACTTCCTTTAGAAGATTGTTTTTGCAGATATCGAGCACAGATTTAGAATCAGCCTTTCGATGTGCAACTTATGGTACGCATCGCATTCCAGATGGCTACGGTGACCGATTATCATCTCCTTGTCAGATCGCCGCTTCCCTAGTCTTTTTTGCTTCGCCATACATTCACGTAGAAGAGTTGCAAGTTCCGCTCGCCTCACATGCACCTGAGCGGTATATCTCTATGACATTTTTTCGCTTTTCGCTGCAACAAATCAGCTTCGAAATGCTAGTCCGCGCTTTCAAAATAGACCATGAAAAAGCTCGAGATGAAAAAACCTAAGTCCAAAATTTGCCCTGACGCTGCTTTTGAGTCAGTAACTCGGCAACTTTCGTTATTCTTTGAGCGGAAGATGCATTTTCCCTTGAACTTGACTTATTCACTGGAGTTGTGGTTGTATGCAAGTTTGATGGCAGTGGACGGTTGTGAGACTTTGTTTACGCATTTTCGTTTGTAGCTTCATGGAATCCGTTTTATGCTGCACATTTCACAAAGCTTTATATAATTACCGTTTGAGCATCGCCCATATACTTATACAGGTGTTTCTCTTCCCGTGCGCGTGTTTAGAGAATGTCAGTTTTGCTCAATTTGAAAATGCTTGTATACACGATAATTATTTCTTGCCTTTACGTCATGATTATTGTTGGACTAGCTAACATGATGGAACTTATCGATGCGTTTAAAATAATCGCAAAACTCACTATTCCTGCCTCACCTGAGCCAACCAGTACCCCCCCCATGTTTTCATAAAAGCTGCTCATCCTTCCCTCCTCCTCCTGTGCAAACTCCCAGCTCCGCAGCTCAAATTGGAAGAGGATGGAATCGATATTGATCGATAACAAAAAAATAGCTTACGAACCCATCCCGCACAAAGTGTATGTGTGCAAGACAGAATTGTTTCAAAAATGGAATTTCTTTGCACGTCTCAAACTTCACTGAGCATCATTTCTGACGCTTTGTTGTGCACATGGTTCCTTAATGTAGAGTGTGCTGTCGCTCCATACTCTCTTATTTAGCATAACTTTCTCTCAACGCTTTTGCATTGCAAAATGTTTGATACTAAGTTTTCCTTTTCAGCGATCAACCGCACGCCTTGCTGTCTTCTTCCTACACTTGATCGTTGCACTAGGAGTTGCCATAACGATAACGGTAATGCTAGTGACTATTCTGTACTCGCATTCGCCTTGAACACTACGGATGCTGCTGTTAGATGCTGTTTATTTGCTCATTCTGAGAGGGTCTGATTAGTCTCATTACGTCATCCACGTAACTTGCAGAAAAGTGCTTAGTGGATCTTATATGTATCGTTGGCGTCTGCATCATGACATAAATATATTTGTATGACTTTGCGACTGTACCCATACTTCTTGTGAAGTAGTTTAGATAAACCTTCCTGGCAATATCGTTTGAATGAAGTGCCTAATTTGTTCTTGTTAATTCTAAGCAATCCTACTCTTAAATTTATATGCTAGCAGGGTATCGTGTTTCATTCTGTTCTTTCAGAGTTCATATGATTAAGAAAAGGTTCATGTTAAATAAAACAGTTTTAGCCACAGTGGTTGAGTAAATTTGTGGAAAGATCTGTAAAGTATGATTATAGGGTGTAGTGAAGTTGAGTAATGACCTTGAAGTTTTGAAGGCAACGTCCACCCAAATCCTCAGCTTCCATGTTTTTGTCATTCCGGGGCCTCCTCGTGTCCCTGATTTTGAATATCAAGTCGAGAATCCGCAAAGACCCCCGATTTTACTTCATGGCAAGCTTTGCGAAACGGTGGTTGGTTGGGTGCGCACGGATGGGCGGGACGAACGTCACGCCCACCCCATAGAGAGGAACCGACTTGGCAAATCGTCATCCACGAATTTCGAAGCAATTTTTGCTTCAGAAGCAACCTTAAGCAGCGCGAGTTGGGCACGTATACAGTAGGCGGCTAATGTATACTTGCCCAGCACTGTTAGGCGTCGACTCTAATCGACCCCGCTTTGGGTGGCCGGTACCTTTGACCTGGATTCCATATGATGCTCAGTCTGTCGACAAAGTGCGATAAATGCAGAACTTTTCGTAATCAAGAAATGAAAGCGGAGTTAGTGCAGTTACAGTCACGTGCTATTTTTTGAAATTATTAGGTTGATGCAGTAATGACTTCCTTAACCTGCGGTGACAGAGAAGATATAAGAACGTACAAACCATGTTATTCGATAGAGCAAGTCAAGCTTTTCAAATCCTTGCCCAAACAATCGCAAAAGATCGATCTTATACTTGAAAAAAATTCATAAAATTTCAAATACCCAAAAATCAGAACTGCACAGTCCTTTGAATTCGAACTTGATTACGCATACTATTTACGTAAGATATTCTATGTAAACTTGCTATACTTTTTTTCATAATTGAGTACAGATATATAAATACAGGGTGTCCCAAAAAATGTTAACACTGTTTGATCGTTAATAATTCCCTTGTTTTCAGGTCTTTCGCCGAGCTTGAGGAACCATTCTGTAGAGCGAGGTTTTACTTAGGTTAATAGTATGAAGCGATTCACCGTTCGCTCTTCGTTTCTGTAGGATTACGGTAAGAACTTCCACATGTGGAACCGTTGTGAAATTTGCCATCTGACAAAATTTTTCTAAGAAATCTGAAAAATAGTGTACCGGGGTTTTCGCGCACGCTGATTCCACCACACAACTTTCTACGAGTGTTTCCAACTTTTTTGACGGTGTAACCACATTTTTGACACATGCTGGAAAGTCAGTCACTACAGTTTACCTAGGATAACTTTGAAAAGAAGCATCATAGTAAAGTGGGAATTTTATATTCGAAATCAGCAAATTCCATTACCATCGTACAGGAGATTTTGGCTTCTTTGGCTCTGTTTCGATTCAGAAAATGGCCTCAAACGGCCTAAAATCCTTGTCAAAATTCCCACAATGATCTTACACTAACGAAGAGCCAGCGGTGATTCGCTCTATATCGTAAATCTAAGTTGATCCTCGCTCTACACAAAGGTGCCTCAAGCTCGGCGAAAGACATGAAAGCAAAGGAGTTATTAACGATCAAACAGTGTTAACATTTTTTTCGGACACCTTGTATAAGCCAAAAATTCGAAGAATATCAGTTGTTGGGATTTTCATGTTGAATTCATTTTTCGACAACTGACATTTGAAGAAGGCTGATAGTCCAGCATTGTTTTCGTTGAATCAAACTGATTTTCATTTCTTCCTTCAGCCAAACCTATTGACGATGATGTGACATTCTCGTTATGGTACTCTCCTTCGGGCGACTCCTAGGGCCAGGTTCGCGAAGGAGGCTTTCGATACTGCGAGTTTCCAAGGATGGCTTCGTCGTCATGATGCACGGTCTCTCCACTTGCTCGTTTCACTGTAGCTCAGGGTCCCGATCTGAAGCTTTGCAGGCGACCTTCTTGCTCCGATCTTCACGTAAGTCACTGACGATGAACTTGTAGAAGGTGTGCTTTTCTCTGTAGAGCTTCTCCAAGTCTATGTAGAAAGCCTCGACTTCATCTTCGTAGCTTGATATTGAGGGGTACTCTATGAAGACCGTCAAGGCTGGGACTGATCGACATCGTAGAATTCGTAAACGTCCAATCCGGTTTGTGAGTTGTTCGAATGAATAGATGTTCACTGCCAAACTCGTATTGACAAGAACTTCTACATCACAGACTCCCTTGCTGTCGCATGTTCCTGATTCAACGGGTGGTGCTCCTTGACTTAGTCAGTTCGATGACGTCGTACTTGATTTTCTTTGCTTGCATCAAGAGATCTTCGACGGTTGCGTTCGATGCGAGCGTCCGTGCATTGTAAGTACAAATCGTCATCATTGACCGTCGTTTTTGGCAGCCTAGATCGCTGCAAACCTTGTCCCACTTTCGCTGCCTTACTACGGGCTCTTCCAAGATTAAAGGAGCTTTCCATAATCACTGTATTTAGCGACTGAATTACTCGCAGGAGAAGCTTGTTGAGCTCAAATCTCCCGCTAAAGACGGTCGGAGCTTATTTGTTGAAGTTTATTTGTTTGTTTACCCAGCCCGCGTCTCCCATACCTATCCGGTAAGTAGATATGCAAGCTTTTGAAGAAAACAGGGAGTCCGTTCCCTGGCTCCATTTGCTTGTCAGAGCAGGCGCGAAGTCGCTCTTGGTAGGCGATTAGCCCCCTATCCGCAACCTGGGGACGCCCCACGTAGCCTCGCAACTAACCGATTGGGATCCCTTGAGGTTCGTGGAGGTTTACGGTAAAAACAAAGCATGAAGTTCGGTTGGAATTCGGCCTAGAGGGTTATTCCACAGGCATCATACTCTCTCGTTGTTTCGGGACCTTTTCGTAGAGTTACGGTAGATACATGGTAAGGGGTCAAAGTTATATACCTGCCTGAAAATCATCTGACTTGATGATCAGAAATCATGCTCATTTCGCACGATAAAGCCCTTAAATGAATTTTATAATCTGAATGACTGAAAGGCGAAAAATGTCCATCCATACGCTACAAATTACCGAAACTCCACAACAGGGCAATAATGCCTTGAGCAAACACAAAATAATCAGATTTCTTTAGAGCTCATCAAGGTAAAGTTTTGAGCAGATTTGGAACTACGACCATCTATGACCCGCCGTAATAAGAAAATGGAGCTGTTTTGGGAAATTGTATGATATTCATGTTCCGCGATAAATAACGCAAAGTTCAAAGCCTATTCATGGTTTCAATTCCGTACCTTAGACCCATCGTAATTGTACGTGAAAAGAAAAGGCCCTAGAGTACAGAAAGAATGTGATACTCGTGATCACTAAGTCAAAAAACCCTCTATACCAGGCCAAAACTGATTCTGACCCCGTACCATACGAACCGGCCCTAACAAATGGCATTTTTGTGAAAAAAGGAATGTAGTATTTGTGATGTAGTATACGAGTTTTAGTGAAATTTACGATTTTGAAATTTTGGGCCTTGGATACTAGAATAGCGCAGTTCGAACTTCCCCGCAAGCATCTGCAGTTCAAGTTCACAGTTTTCAATTTAGTTTTTATGCCAAAAACCAAACCCCTTTTCATTAAAGGTCTCTCTCCCTTTATTGGAAGGCTAAGCTGCACTCCAAGAGTCACAAAAGGAGAACGTACACGGCGATCGCTTTGCCGCGCAGTTTGCTCTCATGTCATGGATGCACAATTCGGGTTTCTTTATAGCTCGTCCCACATTCTGTGGCGCTTTCGGCCTGAGTGAAGAAAAGGAAGAGCAGTCTCACACAGTTTGTGAAAGCAAATTGACTTTCATTGTTTCTAGATACAAAAATGCAGTAATCATCTTATATATAAAGCTGAATGTCTGTTTGTCTGTCTGTATGTCTGTCTGTCTGTATGTCTGTCTGTACGTATGTTCCGAATAGAAAATTCCATTTCTGAACCGATCGGGACCAAACTTGGCACACATACACTTCGGGCCCCGGCGGGTGTCATAGGCTACTTTTCGTCATCGATCGATATTGATTTTATCGATTTTTTGCAAAATTTGAGCTACAGGGCTGGGAGTTGGCACAGGGGGGTAATCGAGCATGCTGATCACTCCCGTGGGGGTGATCAGCATGCTCGATTACACCCCCTGCCAAATTCCAGCCCTCTAGCTCAAATTTTGCAAAAAATCGATAAAATCGACATCGATCGATAACGAAAAGTGGACTGTGACACCCGCCGGGGCCCGAAGTGTATGTGTGCCAAGTTTGATCCGGATCGGTAAAGAAATGGAATTTTCTATTCGGAACATACGGCGGAGCCGGGTAAGCCAGCTAGTTTTTCTATAAACACGACGACAGATCGTAAGTTTTGCAAATGTTGCAAGCTTGTACGTACCCTTTGATTCAGCTAAAATGGCGATTAGAAGGTGACCGATTGCACTCGCGACGCAGTCTGCGCCTCTCTCGCGAAACTGCTCTCTGATTGTTTTTTCCCAGCCTTGGTTAAGCCTCGAAGCCCCGCCTTCAAGCCGCCGATCCCGTTGAGTCAAAGGACAATTGCACAAAACGATTTGAGAGTCAAAGAAAGCGCTAGTGGTTTAAAAAACATTTTAACACTGCATAGCTTTAGTAGGGGCTTACCGATTTGTCCATTCCTCTTCGTTTAAAGTCAAAGGATCAGAAAGCATTTTTGAGTTATGGTCGACTAAATTGCGCACTAAGCAGAAGCTTTCAGACATTCTCATCAGCAAGAGCAAAAATAGGGTCATTTTCAGATTGAATTCATAACGATGCCCAGCTGCCCACTGTTCATGCGGATTGTTATCAGCTAGTCCCAAACGAAGGCGGCTCTCATGAATGCGAGCCGTGTGCGGTCATACGGGTTCAATCATGAAAGGAACTCAAACTCCCGTTCGCATCCGCTTCGCAAAGCGACCGCCATCGTCAAGGACCGACCTTTGCATTCCATCTTGAAGCGCAATTACTACATCATAGAGATAATTGGATAAGATTGCCTTGGTTTAAGATTCGCGTAAGAGAAGGAATGGAGGTTTTCTACAAGTCACGCATGGTCCGCTCATTACATCGATTTCTCTCTCCCCC